TGCTGCAATGCCGGGGGCACCTGCCCCGCCGCTCCGCGCCCCCTGCTCCAGGGATCCCAAAATGGTCCATCAGCGGTTCCTGCGGAGGAGCGTGGTGGACTCGGACCAGGAGGAGCCTGCCTTTGACCTTCCCGAGTCAGAGCATCAGAGGAAAATTATCCTGCTCCCGAAAACCAGGAGGATAATTGCGGAGAGGGCGAAGGCAGGGCACGGGGCCGGGGAGAAGGTGTGCCTGGAGGCCGAGCCTTCTGGGGAGCTGAAGGCAGCGCCAGCCCCTGGCAGCGTCGTAGGGGCTGAAGAGCAGAAGGAAGCTGGCAAAGATGCGGAGCGGAAAGAGGCGTCGGATGCTTCCAAAGATCAGAGCAAGGCTAAGAAAGAGGAGCCTGAGGAGGAGGCCGATATGAAAGCGGTTGCCACCTCGCTGGATGGCAGGTTCCTAAAGTTTGATATTGAACTCGGGAGGGGATCCTTCAAAACGGTCTATAAGGGTCTGGACACGGAGACGTGGGTGGAAGTTGCGTGGTGTGAACTTCAGGTAAGCCGAGCTGATCCTCCTGTGGGTTTTTTTTTCTGCTTTGTAAGCCTAGGAGCTAAGGGCAACATGCCGGTGTCATCTACAGAGGCTCGGCTTTGAGCAGCCTTTATAGTCCCCATTGCTTAGTATCCAGTGTCTAACTATAGCGCAATATTCTCATTGGCTCTCAGTCTACCACCTTATGTACACTCCTCCCAGGCTTAACCCTCTCAGCCCTGGGATCTGACTGCTGACACTGATGATGTTAACATAGGACCTGTCATATTGCATGAAAGGGTCAGGAGTCGCTCCCTCCGAATGCGCAAAGCATGCCGAAAGGAGCGAAACGGAGCTCGTCTCTTCCCCCCTACCCCCAGCCGCTTCAGAGGGCGGCAGCGTGATTTAGCAGGAGTGGAGCAGCAGGTCTCTATTAAAAAGACACTGAGCATAAATGAAGTTGGAGAGCATTTGCAGGAGTGAACTTTCCTTTTTCTACAAACGCATTATGCTTTTTATAAAGATTGAAGATCTGCTGCCCCCTTACTTGCCCTTTCCCCTGCTCTGAGATTGTGACTGTCGCCAGCTTCTTGTGAATCAAACCCCTGAAAGCACCTGCGAGCGCGTGCCTCTTTAGGCATCATCAGCTAGTGCTTCAGTTAGGTCAGAGACCTGCCTATCCAAATACCTTCGGAAAAGGAAGACTTTAAATAAAAGGTCTGATTTGGGCTCTACATCTCTAGAGGAGCCATCCAGTAATAGCTAAAGAGAGTGAAGGTTTAGATACTGTCTTTTGCCGGTTTGGGACGTAGCTGTTACCCTTTTCTTAATGATTTTTTTGTATTCTCACTTCTGTAGAAATGACAGTAGTATATGCTTAATGTTTTTTCTTTGTGAAGCTTTTAGTGTCTGTTACTTACCTCATCTCTGTCAGCGTCCATTTGCATGAGACCTGTCTAAGAGAAAAACCGGAGACAGATTTTTTTTTTTTCCTGAGCTATTACTGAGCCTGAGTTACTCTGCAGTTTTGGTGGGAACTAGAAGGTTTAACTCAAGTTATAATTTGGGGTCCTTAAACTCCCACCGGTTGACTGAGCTTTATGGCCCACGAGAGTATTTGAGAACAGCGTGTCAATAATGTGATGTGATAAGCCTGAGCTCCTGATTGTTTGTTTATTTTTTAATGTTGGCCCAATCTGTTTGTAAATCACTCCCGGCTTCCTGGGATAGGCGGGGATGGATGTACAGCCACATCTTTATTCCCTAATGATTTCATTATGCAACATAATCATAATTTACTGCGGCGCTACTTAATACGAAGTATGGGGAGCACTTCTCAGTCTTCGCAATCACGTGTTCCCATGGCTTTAATTAGACAGAAATGCAAAATACAGAGCCATGGCGGTTGGGTGAGGTGAGGACCTGAAGGGCTGGTGGTAAGGGGTTTAACCCCTCCTGCCCCCCCAGCCTGGAGGGGGTCCTGGAGGGCTCCTAGGGAAAGGGGGGAGAGGCTGTGGGATTGCCAAGGGGATTTACAGGGGAACCGAGTGAGGCCGGTGCTGCTGGGAGGAGAGCCTTGCGGGCAGGCCAGGTCTCTGTCTGGCTTTGGCTTGAAAGCGAATCCCAAGTGTTGTAAGGCTTTTACCTCAGTAGCCTGAAATTCATGTAGGATGACGACTGGGATGCTGTCGGAGGGAAGGTTTGTCCGTAGGAAAAGGCCGATGTTGTTCAGCTGTCGGTCTGACCAGCGCAGGCCAGTTCTGTCGCTGCAGAGCGATTGCACAGATCAGGAATTCATCTTGTTGCCAAATTTTTCAGTCTGCTCTAGCAGGGGAACTGAAATAGATGTATTTTCAACATACTTTCTGTAACAGAATAGCTTTAATGACAAAAGACTGCCAAATGTGGTGGGGAACGCTGCACTGAAATTCCAGTGTTTGGGTCATTTACATCTAGAAAAGATTGGGAAGGGAAAACTGCGGTATGAAGCTTACCTGGTGATTGGTTTTCTTGTTCCTAGTTACACTTGTTTATGAATTCTTGAACTGACTGTATATGAAGAAATAATCTGTAATAATTCCCGAATTCTCACTAGTTTCCATTATATGTGCTTCAGCTGAAATCAGATCTTACTACTAGATATTTTCCATTTAATACTGAATTTGTTTTAGGCCTCTAATTGTAGAAAGAAAACTCTCTTTATTCGACTGCTTTAGAGAAGTTGGTGTGGATCCATAGAAGTAGGGAGGGCTGCTGGTTCTCCTTGAACACTGCTGGCTGTTTGCCGTGCAGATGTGGAGGTGATGCCAGAGGCCAGGTAACGTGAGATGGTATGTGAATTTTGAAAGCCAGTACTTTGGTCTGGATTGAGAAGGTCTAACTGAATGACAAAAGTCTTTAAGCACCATGGGATTAAAGCCTGTGCTTCTAGGATGAGTTGGCATGAAGGAAGCCATCAGGGGAAGGAGTGTGTGTTGTCTTGGGCTTTTTGACTTGTAGAGTACTCTCTTAATTCAGCTAGGGAGTCATACTGGGAAAACATTCAGAGGGTGCTGTCAAGTAATCACTTCATTCACAGCATTTTAAATTTTTTTTATGTAAGCTGTGCCAGTTAGATATGCCCCCGTTTGTCTCTTCCTCTGTAGAAATTTCTAAGTTCAGCTCTACGTAGCAGAAGACTGAGTGGAAGCCGTCACCGTGCTGTTGAAGACAGTGAGTTCCTCTGCAGTCCCACACGTCAAATCCCATCCCAGAGCCTTTTTGTGGAAAAATTGCAACAAATTGTACTTTGTCTTTCTTCTGGAGGTGCACTTGCGCTTGTTACTGTTAGAGCTGGAGAGTTAAAAAATAACAGTATTGAGGTTCCATGCAGGCATTAATCCTCTGTCCTTGCTCAGCATTTTTTCAGCCCAGTTGTACTGTTGCCTGTGTGTGTCTCTTTTTTGACCGCCTGTACAAAGACCTTGCGAGCCATTCTTGTTCAGTGGTTTTATTTCATTGCAAAGGTGGCTTTAGGGTTCAGAACCAAAATCAAGGCTTGGATTAGGGTAGGATCCAAATGCTAACCAAACTAGATCTGGGGTCTAGACCTGTCTGAAGGCGTGGAAGCTGTAGTCAAATTCTAGCTAGAAAAGAAGTTTATTGTTCCTTCCTGAAACTGAAGTATTGGAGCAGGATTAGTGTGCCCTTGCAGTTTGGAAGGGTTTGCATTCTAAAGGTTTTCAACAGCTATAATTAATTTTAATTGGTGGCATGCGATTGCTGTGTGGTGAGGCTTCAGCATAACAGTATTTCAGTGTTGCACTCCTAAGTAAAATGTTGGGTCATGAATAAGGAATATAGATTGGCAAAAGCCTACTGCTGGCAAGCCCAATAATCTTTTTAGTTAGATGGATGGTTTCAAAATTCCCATCCTATTTCCCTTTGGGAACATGTAGGGAAGCTGCAGAAGAGTCAAACCTGGTACTATCTCAAATGCAAAGACCTCATTGTACTTCATGGTTCTCGCTTGGACTGTGAATACTGAGCTTCTGTTTGATTGTATTTAATTTTAGTTTTTTTCATTGAAAATGTGGGAAGGAGGGACTGTCTCGTCCTGCTGTTGCTGTACCCGTGGTGGGGAGGTGAGCAATGCCTGTTGGTGAACACTGCAGGGAAGCCAGGCTTTTTCCACTGGTTGCCCAAGACTTGTTCTCCACTCCGCATTCCGGTGCTTAGATGGACGCTGGTGTCTTCAGGACACTTGGCCTCCAGGTGCTCCGCGTGAGAATGCGTGGGAGTGCTTGGTGCTCCCTGGGACAGAGCTCAGTTCAGCAGAGGTATCTGGGGAGCTGTGTGGGAGTGGAGGATGGGCAGAGGTCAGTTCTCCTTCCCTGCCCATATGGCTGAAGTTGGAAATCAAGGGTGATAGAATACCTCTGATGGCATTTTCCAAATGGCCGCCAAACCAAGGGGTCTGTAATGGTAGAACAACCACAAACAGACGTGCTGCTCTGAGGTGGCAATTTCTTGCCCCCTGCACCTCTTCTGCCAAGCTTCTGGTAGGATAGTTC